GTGCAACATTATATCCATACTTTCCTGTAATTGCCTGATGCTGTCGCAAAGGAGGAACAATACACTAAAATTGTTCATGAAAAAAGTCTCGTTAGTCTTGGATTATTGGTGATTTGCGTTTCGTAAAATTTTACACTCAATCAGATACATTTACACCAAAAAAAAAAACAAAAAATTGCACCAATAATAATTCTAATTGTAGACATCTCTTGTGAACTTCGACGTTTTCGAAAATTTCTTTACGATTCCTTTCTCTCGAAAAACATTTCGAAAATTACTGATGGTTTGATTACAGGCCCGAGCTTCGAAAGTATTGCCATTTTCCAAATATGGAATCTGTATCGTTGATGTGGGTGTCAGTGATTTTTGGTTGATGAATCATGTAAGCAATTCTATTCATTCATAACGCGCTGTCACATCGTTGTATTATGTTAGGCGACACTAAAGATCGAGAAGCTGCTGCGTTTGTGCAGGAGCCCTAGGGGAAGCACAGTCTGATGCAGGTGTGCCTATAGCAGTTCATCGTTCGAAATCATTTCTTTTACTCTGAGTAGTTACGAATAATCTTTGGAAATTATTGAATTACGTATGTTGACAGATTGTATGGTAAAATTTCGAAAGATACAAGGATAAGCTGATAGGTCTTATTACCACATTCAGCGATGAATGCCAGAAAACCAACGATTAGCATATGTAACCATTTTGGACTTTCCTACATTTTCTCTGCAGACTATTGTGACACGCTGAGTGACTACTAGGCAAACAAATTGAATGAATAAAATGATGAAATGAGCAAAGTTTCTAATATTTTTTGCCAATAATTACATAAATACATATACTACTACAGTACTATAGTATAAACTTTCATCTGTAGTCGTCAAAATCATTTTTAGTGAAATCTAAACCAGTTCGTGCCTTTGTATTCACTACGTTAATAAAAGTTGTGGAAGCTATTACATCGAGGAGAAGCTTTGATTTGGGGAACGCCCTATTGCCTTAAACATAGTAGAAGACGTTAGTTTACCCAGTAACAGCCCAAATTTTGACTGGTATATTGTTTGACATTTGAAGCATATCCAAGCGTGAGTATGTGCATACATAATTGTGGCAACAAACCGGTTTAAGGGGTATTAATGCAAATCGGTTCTCAACGATTCTGTGGATGGCTGCAGTATAGCAGAACACAGTGTTATGTGAAATGTACCGTATTCTTTTACTGAGGAAATAAAAGGGAATTACGGCGAAGATCAGACAGTATTAGCGGTCTGAGGGTAGGTAAATGTAGTAGATTATCGTAAATCTCCGCAGGAACTTTCAATTATAAACACACCGCATTTACAGATATGAGAAAATAAATACTTGTACTATAACAGAGAAGAAAAGAAAGCAAAATTATGACCTGCACAATTTGCTCTTATCTCCCCTAGAACTCGAAAAATAGCTCAGCTGTTTCTTTGCTCGCAGCAATTTTAAAATTTATAGGAAATTGTAAAAGGTAAGTAAGTGGTACTTGCATTACCTGAAAGTCATTATCTCAGATCTTCCCCTCAGCTGGTCACATTCGATGAATTATTGACTACAAAAGTTTAACTACCACATAACTTTCAAGCATGCATGGGCAATTTGAATGTTCTT